AATTATTGAGTCAGATAGAACACTTTCAATCGTTAACAAGAGATTAGGTGTTAAAACTTGACAATATTTTTATTTAGATGAAACTATGGAAACCAACAATAAATGTTTTTGTATACGTATTGCAGGCAAATAATTAATATTCCTGAAAAAATCGTACATGGCAAGAATCGAGTATTTTTGTTAAAAGTCTCGATTAGAGATGTTGAAGAAGATATGAAAAAAGTACATTTTTATGTTTTTCATCGTATAGAATTTTGTCCGATAATAATACATAGGCGTAGAACTTGATTTTTTAAATAATTGCACCTTTAAAAATTCTACGCCAATGGCAGAAAAGGGGTTTGAGTATGAAATTTGGATTGGGTACTCATTTACTACAAAAAAGTACCCTTGATAACACTCGATTTACTCTCATGATTTTGACAAAGTTTGTATTTTAATAATTATTGTTTATTTTCTAAAATTACTAAAATGCAAATTTCGTCAAAACCATGAGAGTAATCATGTCTTATCAGGAGTACCTTTTTTAAAGTAAATGAGTTGCGCAATCTAAATTTCATACTCAAACTCCTTTTCTTCCATTGGCGTAGAATTTTTAAAGGTGCAATTATTTAAAAAATCAAGTTCTTCGCCTATGTATTATTATGGGACAAAATTTTAATACCATTTTTTTTGCCACATAAAACTCTACCAATATACCAAATTTCAGCAAAATCTCATATGCCGTTTTAAATTTATATGGGAAAAACGATTTAAAAATTGTAACTTCAAGGCCCTCTGGAGCCCAAACGAAGCAACTTTGTACTAAGGTAATTTTACTTAAATCGACTTATTTTGGTCTAAGGAATATGTGGTATGTTTTTGTAAAGACCTTTTACAAACACTCTGTATAAACTGGTAAATTTTTAATTTATTTGCTAAAGGTGTAGCCATATGCTTTGTATTGTTATCGAAAGAAATTTCACGAAATTTACTATACAAAAAGCATCATGACTTCCCCAAGCTGATAGCTCAAAGGACTAATGGTATCAATTCTGCTCGACCATCTAGTTTCAGACAGTGGTTTTAAAGTTAAATTGGAAATATTTGTTTTTTAAACAGTCCAACAATTACTTAGTTGAGGCCGAAAAAAATTTGTAGTTCTTTTTATTGTATCATTTACAACCAAGTTTAAACTGTGGTTACAGCAAGATACGAAAAATAATCTAGAATCTTTTTTTATAAACCGGCATGCTTGCCTCGCATGTTGACACCATTATCGTATCCCTGGTCTCAATTAAATAAATTGTTTTTTTTTAATCATTTAATAATTTTTTTTAAACACTCAGTTGTGTATTCTATTGGGGCAAAATGTAAGAAACAATTTCCCTTGTTGTTGATTTTAAATTTACGAATCTGATACAGACAGAAATGTGTTCTTGATGGCTCATGTCCGGAGTGCAATCAAGAATAAAAGAAAAATATTTTGAATTTTTGGCCATATTTAAAATATTTTCTCTTAAATTATTACGTATTATTTAAATTATTTCATTTTGAAGTTGGTTGCCAAGATAATGATTTATTTTCATGGGTGTCGTTTGGGGGGGGGGGGGCAAGGGGGGGGGGGGCAGTTGCCCCCTCTGGCTTTTAGCGACTTTATTCAACAACGCGTAAGATATGCATTACGAACAACAATCTCATATAGAAATAATAATATTCAGGCTAATATAGTTGAAGAATATTATAGGTTGAATATATTTATTGCATATCTGGATTCTCTTATTATGTTGCTTACATTACGCTTTTCCGAAGATTCTGTTAGTTTTTCCTTAAGCCTGTTACATCCCAAAGGCATAAAAACAATACTTTTTTCACTACTGATTAGAAAATGAAAGTAGTGGAAAAATTTTGAATTGACAATTTTGAAGCTGAATATCAAAATGGAGTACGAAACAGCTTTCTACACACAATGAGCTCTCCATTAATGATATAGCATCCAAACATTGTGAATTTTATCCAGACATGCAAAGTGGTTTAAAAAATATTTATGGCTCTTCCACCAACGACAGAGTTTATCGAAAGAACTTTTAGCACGCTAAGGCATGTTAAAACATGGCTGCGATCTATCAGTGCGAAGTCATGGTAGGGAAAGCAAAAGCGATACTAGCGCAAACTGCGGATAATTCGAGTACTTTAGGGCGATATTTTGTAATTTTGGCGTATCAAATACACGTATACATTTTACTTTTTACTAAAAAATGGGTTAAAAACAATAAAATGAGCAAAATGAGCTATGTTGCAAATTGTACTAGCAAAAAAAAATGTAAATTATATAAATTTTCAGTAGCAAAATCGAAATTAAATCAAAAAAATAAATAGACAGCTGTATAATAAGAAGAAAAAAACCTTTATTTTTGTAATAATAACAGTAATACTGTAAATAATAGACATCAGAAAAGGTTTTAAATAAACAATAAATTATTATTTTATGATATTCTTCAACATCCCTTAAGTCTTAAATGTTTAGCAAATGATTAGATTTCTGCCTTTAATTATTGTATATGGCTGAAATGCAAACTTGTGACTTATTGATAGGAAACCAGTTTTAATCATTAATTTCTATGGGTTCTTTCGAACTAAAAATAAAAAAAATATAAATTACAATCGCAAATATACCAATTATTTTTGTTAATACGTTTTAATTCTACGTTATTATATAATAGTAGTGTTTTTATTTTGACATTATTTAACCTATTCTTCAATGACAACTTATTAGGCTTAGGCAAGATCTCATAAATTTTCTCGTAAATACCTACCTATGTTTTATTATTGATTTTTATTGATTATACTACTTTTTTTAGCTGAAGTAATAAAAATATATAATAATAATAATATTAATAATTTTTTCAATTGTTTTATAAATCCATATACTTTTATTTTGTCTTTTTTGTTGGGTTATTTTATTTATTAGAGACTTGTTATGACAACTTAAGTATCAGTTCTGTCAAATAGGTCAGTGGCATTGTTAGGGTTACTACTACAGTTCCACTTCCCCTTAGCTTCGTTATTCAGTGAGATATCGGATTAATTTTGTTCTGTTTGAAAGACTTTCTTATGATGGATTCAATTGTTCTGTGACGTCATGGCTTACTTCTGATTTTTCCGAAAATAACAGTTTTTTTTTATTTTTAAAAGGAAACCCTCTTTTTTATTGTAAATTTAAATGTCTGGGACTTTTTTGTATAATAATCGTGTATTGACAATTTTCTGTCAGCTGTCAAAGTGGCTGCCATATTTTATAATATTTTTTCTAAATATGTTACTATTAATTCGTTTATGGAAAAACATATAGGAATGTACGAACTTTATAAAATCTTTTTAGGCTTTAAAATTTCCATTGTGACCCATTTACCGTATACCAGTGGCGTATCTAAGCATTTTTATTATTAGCAAACCGTTTAATAATTTATCCGCTTTTATCTTCGTTATTAATTGAGATATTGGAATGAAAACTTATTTGTTTAAAAGCTTGGGACAAATACTCTAATATTCTGGATTCAATTGGTGTGTGACTTCATGGCTTACCTCTGTTTTATCGGAAATAACAAAATCTCAATTTATTTTTAATTTTTAAATAGAAACCCCCGTTTTTATTGAACATTTGAATTTTAGGGACATTTATGAATAAGAATCATATGTTGAAAATTTTTTGTCAGCTGTCAAAATGATCATCATATTGGAACATTTTTTTTTAATATGTTTCTGAGAAAATTTTCAATACACGCTTCTTATACAAAAAATGTCCCGGAAATTCAAATTTTCAATAAGAAAAAGGGTTTTTATTTAAAAATAAAAAAATTAATTGCGATTTTCTATTATTTCTGGAAAAACCAGAAGTAAGCCATGACATCACAGAATAATTAAATCCATCATAAGAAAATTTTCTATTATGTTTCATTTTCTTTGTTTTCCAATAAATAAACATACCAAATTTTTTCAAAATTTTGCCCCCCCCCCCCCCCCCCCCCTATAGAATTGTGTAACGACACCCATGTTTATTTTCTTGATCTCTATTTGTACTCTTTTAGTATGTTCAGCCATAATGGGGTCGAATTTTGTAATCATTTTCACACATTTCAAGAAATTGCCGTTATTATTTTGAAACAACTTCATATTTTAACCGCGGACGGCGGAAGGTCAGATTTTGTTTAGCTAAAAACTGAATAACAGAATACTCGCTCAATAACTGCATGCCAATATTTAATTTCAGCGTTAACCAAATATTTATGAGTTAGATCAATCGTATTGTTTCTTTTTAATCTAGTTAAACAGTCATACCATGTCTTAAGGAATTTCGAAATGCATACTTTTTTAGTGTTACATATTCTGCAACAAAAACAAAACAGAGAATTTTTCGCTAACGAGTATAGAAGACAAATACACTTGATTTTTCATTATTTGGCAAAATTCGAGAAAAGTATGATTCAGAAAATTTCGATAACAGGTGCGTTGAATATGAAATCACAGTATAGGTCGTAGGAAGGTTTATTCTTATAGTAAAAGCTCATATGAAAACGTTAAAATAAGGGCAGTTAACTAACTTCCTTTCAGGAGTTAATAAAAACGATATAGTATCTGATAAAAGTGATAAAATGTACCGTTTATTATTGGTTTTCTTAATTAAACTGTACAGATATCGTTCGCAAACACTTACCACTTCCACTTAAACGATTCAATTACACTATTTTATATTTAATATAAATAAGATTGCCCTATAAACGCCTACCGGGGTTATTCGTTTATCTCAGCTCTTTCCTATACGATCGCAGATAAATTCGATTCACCTCATTTTTTAAATACCCACTTCTATTCAGAGCGATATAACTGTATTTTATACTTAGGATTTAACGTTTCTTTACTTTTCATCGTAAATAATAAATCTATTTTAACAATGTTTAAAATATTTGGCGAATTGTTTTCGATACATTTTGAAAATTAATCGTATTTTTTGTTTGTTTCAGATTTCCTAGGCAGCAACAAACTCTGCCCAATCACTTTTACTTTACTGATTATGAGCGACATAACGCTGAAATCGCTGCATTCCATTTAGACAGGTAGGAGGACAATATTTCCGCGGTAAAAAATGGCATTTTGAAATTAAAAAAACGAAAGCGTAGAGGTGCCATACCAAATTGCGAAATATTTTTAGAAAAAAGTTATACTGTAAATTTACACATTTTCTGTAAAGTTACACTTTTTCTGTAAATTGACAGTTTTTCTGACAATGTACACTTTTTACTACTACCCAGCAATACGATATCCCTTTCTTGCAATGACCTCCTTCGTTGTTGTCTATTGGGTCTTCATTCAATTGGATATTGGGACAATGCCATCTTTAATAATTATTTATATTTAATGTTGTTTATATAATATAACCAAATAATAATACAATGCGAATGTGAATCCATGGAAATATAAGCTTCGTTCGCGGTAACAGTCCTAAAGTGATTCAGAATTAATAATTCATACTTTGAGCACATGCCTGATTAATTATCAATTCTGAATTTTTACCGCGCGCGCAATCCCTATAAATGCCGCGTTTGAGAATCCACATCGGATGCATCTGAGATGTAAAAAATCTTTGATCACGTGATTCAGTATACGTAAATGTAATAGGACAGATGTGTCCGATGTGGATAAAAAAACGCTCGAGATGTAAAAAATGCATACGATGTGGATTCTCAAACGCGGCATATATCTCGGTGTTTCAGGTATAATAGACAAGCAGTTCGACACCAATAATAATTTTACCGCGAACTCAGGATAGAACCAAATAGTTAGTTCTTTTTGCTCCGTAAACGCTTTTTAACTACTGCGCCTGCGAAATCGTTACTATTAGTAGTAATTTGGTTCATGGTTCTTACCGCGAACAAAGCTATGTAAAGCACGTATAATTGACATTCTTCGGATATCTGGATAGCTATTCACTAAGTCATGGGAGCGCTCCCATGGGAGTGCTCCCATATATTTTGCTCTCTTACTCTTAGGTGGGTATATCGTGCTTACTCACTTTTAGCCCAGGTACATGCGTAGTAAGGTCAGATTTTATACTATGGGAGGGAGAATTGCGGGCTTGCCAGATTAGGTCCGTATTTATCACAAAGCAAATTTGAATTATTAAGGGCTGATTCCACCGTTGAGTTAAACGGAGATTAAAATGACATTGTTAATGTAAAAATGTCATTTTAAACTTCGTTAAACACAACGGTGGATCGGTCCTTAAATAGTAGATCAAAGTTATTCTGTCGACTTGGCAACGTTGGCCTCTAAAGGCACTGTTAGCTGTTTTATATCACCTGATATTTTCAGCTTTTGAAGTTTAGTTTTCATCGAAGCTAAGCTGGGAAGCAGATACCCATAATAGGTGTTATGCTCTCCCTGTAAAAAATCTATTTTTTCAGCCAAAGGCTACATTAATTTGATATATTTCTCTAAAACGGATATTTCAAGTTCCTTAAATACCGGAATACGTTTATCACATAAAACTTATCTTTGACAAAACAATTTGGACGACAGCGTCATAAGTGGAGTTCCATTTGGTAACTCCTGGAACTTTTTACTTATGTCCAAGTTCTTCTTGTATTATTTCAGCCGATTTCGGCCGTCCGCATTTATTTCACAACGTCGAATATTTGGAAAATATGTGTGTGTTTTTTTGTCGCAAAGGCAGTAGACCATTTACCGAATTTTTGTAATCGGTAGTTGCAATGAGATTTATGGTATATGAGGCACATCTTATGTGTTGCGGCAAATATCTTTCCTGTGTAAAATCCCCCATGAGGTATATTTTAAGAACAAAAAAATACATGGAAGTGTTTCTCCACTTTTTTCTTATATCAACAATTTTGAAGCAAAAAAATATATCATTTAAGGGGTAGTTTTATTCCCTTAAAATTCGAGTTTTGTCATAAAACCTCTACAATTAATCTGCTTGCTGAAATTCAGCTTTTTACGTCATATGGTTTGCCCATGATCAAGATTAATTAGTCAGTTCACTGAGCATTTTACATTACATATTAGTATACATTATTAAATTATTTTCCACTCTATCTTATTTTTAAAGAATATTTCATTACTATTCTCGAATATTTTCAAAATACTTATAGTTAGTTACATTTTAATGTTTAAATATTTTTTATACCACAGAATCAAAATACTTACCGTAGTATACACATAAACACGACCTGCAAAATAAGCACACGTTACTTTACACACAAAATTCTAACCCACAAGCTTTTACGGATGCTAAATGCAAAATGCGCTCCGAGTCCCGACTTCCGTACGCGCTAGATCGGAAATAAGAAAAATCCTGTTGAAATTAGAAAAAAGCGTTAAAATTTTCAAAGTACTGCTGAAGTGCATTCTGGGTATTTAAGTACATTGACATACTAAAGAACGTTATAAGTACTTAAGTACTTTTAAAGTACTTAGTTGCATTCTTTCTTCACTGTTTTAAGTAAAAAAGTACTTAACTCCAAATTTTACTGTTTAAGTATAAGTACAACGACAGGAACTTAAAAATGTAAGCACAAGTACAGGCATTTTTGCAGGTACTTAAAATACAGTACTTTTTGTACTTAAGTAATTTTTTAAGTACATAAAGTATTCAGTACTGCAGCTCTGCTCTAGTTAAATATTGCTCAACGACTTCTAACAAAAACGTCGTACTCTGTTTCTACACTATTAAAGAGTTGTATATCAGTCATAAAAATTTATTTAACGTGTCGTTTGCGTGTGTTTTGTAACGTTTTAATCAATTATACCAACCTTTTATAAATTTGTGTGTTACTTGAGTTGTATTGTTTAAATTTAGATATTAAATACATTACACACATTTGTGAGGTTAGGTACTTCAATTTTGAGAAAAAAATAATAATGAAATTTATTCAGAATTATATAAGTAGGTAACACAAAAATTTTAGGGATAGGTGTCTGGGAGTCAGGGTGTTGAAAGTAATACGACAACAAATGCCTCAACAATTGTCCCCCTTGATATGTAAATTCGCCAAATATTCATACTGTCATTTGTAGAGGCAATATTAAATGCTGTTCGTTATAACATTGACATCCTGTATGTATTTCGTCAGCACACTGGCAACTTAAACGGCGCGGCGTAGAATAATGCTCTCTTTTCACTACTGAAAAGAGAATACATCGATGCCGTGGCATCGTATAGCTGGGTAGTCAGAAAAACTATAAATTTACAGAAAAAAGTGTAAATTTACAAAAAAGTGTAATTCTAAATAAAAAGTGTCGCAATGTTGTATTGCAGCTCTACGCTTTCATAGTTTCATGATAACTTGAAAAAGTTTTTATGTATTACAGTTTATACTATAAATAAAATAAATATAACGATATTTCAATGAAACACGTAGTTAGTATCGTATTGCGAAAGTTTAAGTTACAATGTTCTCTCTTGCAAAGTCTTAAGACAAATAAAAGGGTCTGTTTATGTGGGCACACTAAGAATATTCACCCGCAGTCGCCGAAGAAAATTACAGCCGTCATCTTTCGGTTTCTATAGAAAGAAATTTAAGAAGTCGGGTTGAAGGAATTAGATAACTTTGTAAAAGCGCACTCAAACGTACACTTGCCTCCTGTATCTACACGACGAGTTTTATGGTTCTTTTTCGTCGAATTAGATATTTCGAAGCTAATTCTTAAGTACATCGAAATAAAATAAATAAGTATAAAAGCTAACAACCTAATTCAGAAACGATCTCTAAAAATAAATGTATTATTGAGTACGTTACTGATGTATAAATGCACCTATAAGGAACGTCCAAACATTTCTTCCTTCCTACTGACTGCGCCATATTGTAACTAAATAGAAGAGCCCAAAATTTGACGACATTATACAGGGTATTTCCGAACTTGGCGTCCAAATTTGTAGGGGTGGTAGTTCGCATAATTTGAGAGTGATTGGCAGATTTAATTTTCCTAAAAAAATTATATTAAACAAAATAGATCCATTATAAAAAAATCAAAGAGCAGGTCCTACCCTGAGCGCGTAGCGCAATAGTCCTCAAAAATAGATGCGATTTGCAATTTTGTCGATTCTAAGCGTAGCGCGCGCGAGTCGAGGCGTTCCATCGCTGTGCAGGACCGTACCTGTTTATAATTTTAAATTAATTTTTAATTATTTTTATTTTAAATATTTTGGAAAAGTAAAATCTGCGAATCGGTCTCAAATTATGCGAACTACCACCCCTACAAATTTGGACGCCAAGTTCGGAAACTCCCTGTATAGAAGATACTCTTTTCACAAACTATACAATTTTTTTCTAATTTTGACATATAAAATGACATTTTTGTAATTGTGCAATGGAAATGGAAAAGGCTGAAAGTGCCACAAAGTAAAATTTTCAGTATTCAATAAAAACTTATACTGTATCCTTTAAAAATCTATAAAATTCATTAAAAATGCAAAATATATTTTTATTTGTTTTTCAAGGGTTGTTTTTTTATTGTACATATATAACTTGATTTTTCATGTGAAAAGCTGAAAGTGCCATCATATCTTTTTTTGGGAAACGCTGTAAGTGCCATACCTTGTTAGTTAAAAGGCTGGAAGTCCAGCGCTCATTACACGTAAAGGATGAATGTTCATAGTGGTTCAACAAAAAACCAATAAATATTACAAAAATAAGCTTATATTTTAAATAAAAAGACTCACAATCATATACATATTGTCTCTCTCTTTCTTCTCTCCTATCCCCCACCTTCTCCTGCTGGAAGTCCTCTAGAAGTCCGTCTTCTGCTTCCTCCTGATTGTCGTCTTCTTCTTGTTGCTCTTCCACCGCAGGCTGCTGAGGTCCAGGAACAGTGGCCCTATAGAATACCTTGTCTTTTTCTTTCTCCAGGTATTTTAAGATCATTCCCTCTAGATCATTTTTCTTTCCTTGAGATATCTTGCATTTGAACTGAATTTTTGGTAACTCCACATCGGGAAGGTCTTCAAGATTTGCATTTTTTTTTAAACATCTACCTTGTCCCAAGTTACCATATTATCACTTTCCTTTGCAAAAACTGATGCCACTTTTAAAATACCAGG